ACCCCCAGCTCTTAGCGACGGAGACTGGGTGAGGGGTGATCGCAGGGAGAGGGGGGAGTTCCGACCCGGGGAATTTTGATCCCTTGGCTGGAGATGCCGGAACCACAGCAGCTGCTGCCCCAAAATAGCGTCCTCGCCCCTACAGCCGGGGATCTCCAGAGCTCCTGGAACACTGGCGTCCTGGCTCGCCCTTCAGATCCCTCTGTGATGCCCGTGAGCCCCCAGACCACCACCCCAAGTTCCCGGCTCCAGTCGGGGCGGGGAGAGCCGTTTTCTCCTCGGTCTCTACTGCCCCCAGCTGGCGGCGACATGCACTGCAACGTCTGTCGCACGGTTGCTCTAGTCTGGAGGACCAGGGCTGGCAGCCAGTGGACTAGGGCTAGGCATAGCCGGGAGGGGTGAAGGGGACGGAGCAGCTGATGGGAACCGGCGGGTACCAAAGCTCAGAGCCAGACAGCAAATGAGGCGCTGCAGGGTGTGGCAGGATGTGGAGGAGGCAGGATTTGGGGTACCCCATGACCGAGAGCTCGCACACTTGAATGCCCAACCCACTCCCCCAGGGCCCTGGCCCTGGCCCACCCAGGAGGGACGGCTGTGCCTTGAAGCCGCAGCGAGCTCTCCCAGTGGTGCCACCTAGCAGCGAGGGCCCCGCCCCTGTCCCGTGGCAGCTGCGTGGACTGCGGCCTTCGGTACCCGCACTGCATGCACGGGGCCCAGCCTAAGCCCTAGAGCGAGGGGACCAGGTGAGGGCTGTGGGCCCTGCGGGCGGGGCGGGTATGCCTTGGCGTGTCTTATCTCCGTGCCCTGCATCTGTCTGGGTGTGTGCGCCTGCCTGATCTCTGTCCCCTCTTGCCTGCCTGCCTGCTGGTGTCCTTGTCTCTGCCTGTCTCCTTCCCTCCCTGTTTCTTTCCTTGCCAACCTGCCCCACCTCCTCTGCAGCCCGGTGATAGCCCTTGGGCAAGATTGTTACCTAATCTGCTCCCCCCTTGCTGCCTCCAGCCTTCACCCTTTGCCTTTCTTTTTCCCAGCAGACGCCGCCTGCCGTGGCAGCCATGAGGCCCCCGTGGTGTCCCCTGCACAAGCCCTCCCTAGCCTCCCCACTCCTTCTCCTCCTCTCCCTCCTGGGAGGAGGGGTGGGGGCTGAGGGCAGGGAGGACCCAGAGCTGCTGGTGACCGTTCAAGGGGGCCGGCTGCGTGGCATCCGCCTAAAGGCCCCTGGGGGCCTTGTCTCCGCTTTTCTGGGCATCCCCTTCGCAGAGCCACCTGTGGGCCCCCGACGCTTTCTGCCACCTGAGCCCAAGCAGCCCTGGCCAGGGGTGCTGGATGCTACGACCTTCCCTAGTGTCTGCTACCAATATGTGGACACCCTGTACCCTGGTTTTGAGGGCACTGAGATGTGGAACCCAAACCGTGAGCTGAGTGAGGACTGTCTCTACCTCAACGTGTGGACACCATACCCCCGGCCTGCATCCCCCCTCCCTGTCCTCGTCTGGATCTATGGGGGTGGCTTCTACAGCGGGGCCTCCTCCCTGGACGTATACGATGGCCGCTTCCTGGCACAGGCGGAGGAGACAGTGCTGGTGTCTATGAACTACCGGGTGGGAACCTTTGGCTTCTTGGCTCTGCCAGGGAGTCGAGAGGCACCAGGCAATGTTGGTCTGCTGGATCAGAGGCTGGCACTGCAGTGGGTGCAAGAGAACGTGGCAGCCTTTGGAGGGGACCCGACATCAGTGACTCTATTTGGGGAGAGCGCAGGCGCTGCCTCGGTGGGCATGCACATACTGTCCCCGCCCAGCCGGAGCCTCTTCCACAGGGTCGTGCTGCAGAGCGGTACACCCAACGGGCCCTGGGCCACGGTGGGCATGGGAGAGGCCCGCCGCAGGGCCACGCTGCTGGCCCGCCTTGTAGGCTGTCCCCCAGGTGGCGCCGGTGGCAATGACACAGAATTGGTAGCCTGCCTGCGGACACGGCCAGCTCAGGACCTGGTGGACCACGAGTGGCATGTGCTGCCCCAGGAAAGCGTCTTCCGGTTTTCCTTCGTGCCCGTGGTGGACGGAGACTTCCTTAGTGACACGCCTGAGGCCCTCATCAATGCTGGAGATTTCCATGGCCTGCAGGTGACTAGTGGCTGGCAGGGGTGGAGCTGGTTCCCAGGGGTCTGGCCATCCCTCCCCTCCCCAGGGAAAGGAAAAAAAAAGACAGTCCCGGCCTGGGGCTCCTGCAGATCCACTCTCAGAGGTCCAAGCTTCTGGGGCCTATGGCCACCCTCCTCCCCAGAGTGCAAATCCCAGAGAGTGGTCATCGGGGCAGAGAGGAAAAGAGCTGTGGGTATATTTTCCTTCTCTCCGTCCCTTCCCCAGTCTCCTGCTCTCCTCCTCCGTGGTTCTGGATCTGTAACTGTTCATCTCTGGCTCTCTGTCTATCTGTCTCTTTGTCTGCTTGTCTGTCTGTACCCTGTCCATCCTGTCCCTCCCGTCCCCAGGTGCTGGTGGGTGTGGTGAAGGATGAGGGGTCCTATTTTCTGGTTTACGGGGCCCCAGGCTTCAGCAAAGACAACGAATCTCTCATCAGCCGGGCCCAGTTCCTGGCTGGGGTACGCATCGGGGTTCCCCAGGTGAGCGACCTGGCAGCCGAAGCTGTGGTCCTACATTACACGGACTGGCTGCATCCTGAGGACCCGGCACGCTTAAGGGACGCCATGAGTGCTGTGGTGGGCGACCACAATGTCGTGTGCCCTGTGGCCCAGCTGGCTGGGCGACTGGCCGCCCAGGGGGCCCGAGTCTATGCCTACGTCTTTGAACACCGTGCCTCCACACTCACCTGGCCCCTCTGGATGGGGGTGCCCCACGGCTACGAGATTGAGTTCATCTTCGGACTCCCCCTGGACCCCTCGCTGAACTACACCGTCGAGGAGAAAATCTTTGCCCAGCGGATGATGCGATACTGGGCCAACTTTGCCCGAACAGGGTCAGCAGGGATGGGGGTGGGGGGCGCACAGGAAGGGAGGCAGGAGGGTAAAGGAGACAAAGAGGGCAAGAGAAACAAAGGAGAGACAGAGAAGGTGCAAGGCAGGGTGGGAGCCCCGTGTAAGAGGCAAGGACAGGGACAGAGGAAGAGAGATGAAGATAAAGGAGATCCAGTAGTTAGGAGAGGGCTGCAGAACTCCAGCTGGACGGGCAGTGATTTATATTCCTTGTGGCTCTGTCTCCCTTCCCATTTTATGTCTGAAAAAAGGGGGCGGTAAATCTGGCATCAGACTGGGGTTGCCCAAAGTAGAAGTGCTGCTTGTGGAGACACAGCTGTGCCTGGGTTATACACTTCACTGGCTCAATCAAAAGTAGCGTGTTTGTTTGTTTTTTGTTTTGTTTTTTTAATGGAAGGAAAACAGATAAAGACGGGAATAGAAAAACTGAGAGAAAGGAAAGAGGGTACACAGGAGAAAAGGGGAAACTCCTAGGTGAGAAGGGACGCAGGAGAAGAGAAAGAATTGGAGTCAGACGGCACGATTGGGGGTCTCCATGGGGCCGAAGAGGCCCCGGGGTCAGGAAGGGGACCCTTCTGCCCTGTCCTCATCTTCACTCCCCATCACTCTGAGCCCTGCAAGCCTTTTCATGGAGCTGAGCCGTCCCTCTCCCTTCGCAGGGACCCCAATGACCCGCAAAACGCCAAGGCCCCTCAGTGGCCCCCATACACTACAGGAGCGCAGCAGTACGTGAGCCTCAACCTGCGGCCGCTGGAGGTGCGCAGGGGACTGCGCGCCCAGGCATGCGCCTTCTGGAACCGCTTCCTGCCCAAACTGCTCAGTGCCACCGGTATGTGGGAGCCGGCGGGCGGGGGGCGGAGAGAGAAAAGGGCGTGCAGGGCCGGGGATGCAGCGCCTGCCTGGCAAGCGCCAGGTCGTGAGTTCGAGTCCTCATACCAAAAGGGGGGGGGCGGGTGCAGAAGGAGGGGAGGAGGAGCCGGCCGGGTGTAACCCCTCTCTTCTCCCCCCAGCCTCCGAGGCTCCCAGCACCTGCCCAGGCCCCGCCCATGGGGAGGCTGCCCTGAGGCCCAGGCCTGGCCTACCCTTGCTCCCCTTTCTCCTCCTCCTCCTCTTCCTGCGGCTGTGACCACGGCCTCTTCCCCTTGGCCTCAGGGGTCACCTCCTCTAAAACATGGCCAGACTGTGGGGAAGGACCCCTCTCAGGGACCCAGCGCCCCCTCCGTGCACACAAACTGGACAGGCCTCAGAGACCTACTCGCCTTTGTTTAAATGGAATTGAAAAGCCAATTTAAATTTTTTATTTTTATAAAATTATCCTTTGGAGCCTGAGCCTGGTGTTGGGGAGAAAGGGAGACCTGGGGCTGGATAGCACCCACAGTAGGCTACAACTGTCAACCATCTCTGTCTCTTCTTTTTCTCCCTGCCAACCCATGCCCTTCTGGTTCCATCCGTCCCGCTCCATCTTGCGGTCGCTGCCTCCCGTCTGCTTCCTGCCACCCTTCTCCGCCCCGCCCGCCCTGGCCTTCATCCTCCCTGTCTGCCGTCTTGCCTACACTCTCCTGATCCTCGTTCCACCATCTCACGTGGCCCCCGCCCCCGCCCCCGTGTGTCGCCCCTGCGTTCCCGCCCCTCCTTGTCCTGCGTGCCGCCTCCTCCCGCCCCCGCCGGACGCCCGCCGCAGACACGCTGGACGAGGCGGAGCGCCAGTGGAAGGCCGAGTTCCACCGCTGGAGCTCCTACATGGTGCACTGGAAGAACCAGTTCGACCATTACAGCAAGCAGGATCGCTGCTCAGACCTGTGACCCCGGCGGGACCCCACGTCCTCAGGCCCCGCCCCCAGCTGTATATACTATTTATTGAAGGGCAGGGATAGAACAGACCAGTCCCAGACCCTGCCCGCCCGACCCCCGACTTCCCCCCGGGGCTCCTCGTCCTCTGCATGTCTCGGGCCGAGCTCCCTCCCCCGCGGTGCCTTCGCCCCTTCTGGGCTGCCAATAAACTGTTACAGCCACCGGAATGTGCGCCACTGGGAACGGGGGCAGAGTGCCGGGATCGCGGGACACAGGCGCGCAGGTCCAGGGGCTGACAGCAGTAGGGTTAGCCCGCTCCAAAGGGCCTCGGCGCCTGCGCGCTCGAAGGCCGCCAAACCGAGCCCCGCCCCGCGGGGGTGGGGCCTGCGCCTGCGCAGTGAAGCCAACGGGCGGGCGCGGCAGTGCATTGTGGGAGCCTGGTGGATGCTGTATCCTGGCGGCGCTAGTTCTCTGCTGCGCGTTTCTGACCCCGGGGTAAGTGCCACGACTCCGCGAACCCTTCTTGCCCGCAGCTGGCCCAAGACAGGGCTTCAAGAGGAAGCGCTGGGGTTCGCCACGCACCGCCAGCCGCCCTGGAGCTGCTGCAGGACGTCCACCTGGGCCTGGCCCCGCCGCGCCGCGGCCCTGCCCGCCTGGCCGTCCTCTCGGGCCACTACCTCTACTATCACTACTGCTGCGACGGGCTGGACGACCGCGGCTGGGGCTGCGGCTACCGCACGCTGCAGACGCTGTGCTCGTGGCCAGGGGGCCAGGCCACGGGCGTGCCTGGACTGGACGCTGTGCAGGCGGCCCTGGAGGACATGGGCGACAAGCCCCGCGGGTTCCGGGGCTCCCGGAGCTGGATCGGCTGCGTGGAGGCCAGCCTCTGCCTCGCGCACTTCGGAGGGCCCCAGGGCCGCCTGTGCCACGTGCCCCGTGGAGCCGGGCTTCGCGGCGAGCTGCAGAGGCTTTACTCCCACTTCGCGGGGGGCGGCGGGCCTGTGATGGTGGGAGGGGATGCCGATGCCCAGGCCAAGGCCCTGCTGGGCGTCTGCGTAGGGCCAGGCACCGAAGCCTACGTCCTGATACTGGACCCTCACTGCTCGAGCGCTCCCAAGAACCCTAAAGAACTACAGGCCGCCGGGTGGGTGGGCTGGCGAGAGGTGAGCAGCGCCTTTGATCCCTGCTCCTTCTACAACCTGTGCTTGACCAGCTGTAACTCTGAAAAGCAGCAGCACACCGAAGACTGAAACTGACCCCACCTGTGCGTCCTTTACTTCTCAAGTGTCCCAGCAGAGCAGAGGGGAACTTCAGCATCAATAATAAAGTGACCAGGCCCAGCCAACCATGGCCCCAGCGGACGTTTGGGAGGATGTGAGAACCTATGCAACACACCCAACTGAAGAGTCACTACTTCAGGGCTTTTATTGGTAGTAAGCTGAATGTACAAAAACATTCTCAGGTGATGAGACAAGGCAGGCAGAAGTACAGGGTGGGGGAAAGTGGACTGCTCAAAAGAAATCCACATCATCTGGGGCATCCAGGTCGCGATACTCTACAATGGCCCTTGGGTCTCCTCGAACCATCCTGTAATACAAAAGGTGGTGAGACCTGAGGGGCCCTGTGTGTGCAGGAGGCAAGGGGCTTGGACATCTTACCCATTCTCACCTGCTGCGTGGTTTCCCAGGATAGCCACCTTGGCCTCGAAAAGCATCATAGTTCCCTCTGCCAGCACCATACGGGGCATGTGGGTATGGAGGGCCTCCTGTGGGAACTGCAGGGCGCACAGCACCAGCTGTGAAAAAGATCAGTGTTCAGCCTGTTTCCCTCTAGCACCACACAATCACCAAGCCCTTTCAGCCCTCTCCCACACTTACCTCCATAGCCCAAAATGGGGGGCCGGGGCTGGCCATAGGGCATCAGGCCCTGGGGAGTTTGGTGTGGGTAGGGGAGTCCTGGGGTCAGACCTGGGGGGAGTACAACACAGACAGGGACATGAATTACTGCGGGACGGGGGGGGGGGGGGGACGGACACACAAATGACTTCTAAAGAGTATGGCCTCAGTATATGGTAGAAACTTTTCTTAGGGAATGACAGATTAAAGAGAGGAATCCTGCACAAAGAAGAAATGCACCAGACCCTCATGGATCGTATCTTACTCTGGGCAGGGCCAGGGGGTTGGGCTGGCTTGATCTCCGGCAGAGCTGGACGTTTGGCGTCTGTGAGGAAGTTGTTGAAGAATGCCACTTCCTTCTTTACCTCCTCAATCTTCTCTGCGTGTTTGTTGAAGATATGTTTGCGCACAAACTCGGGACCCTGTGCGGAGAGGGAAAGATCAGGACAGAGCAGCAAGTTGATGTGGGCTCTCCCAGCCCGAGCCAGCCTGGAAAGTGGACAGCCTCCCTCCAGCCAAGCCGCTGAGCATCTCCCCCAACCCCCAGGCCTTTAGGAGACTGCAGGCCCCAACCCTGCCTCCCACCATTCTAACAGGCCAATTCTCTAACATCCCAGACCTTGAATTTCTTGCCACTGAGAGGACACAGCCACTTATCCTTGCCCAGTTCCTGGGTGTTGGAGGTGACAAATTTTTCCACTTCCTGCTCAGGATCCTTGCGGCCCATCTTCTGGGCCTCTTCCTCAGACAGGGATTCCCGCACACTCAGCAGGGGGGTCAGCTTCTCCTCGAAGGTCTTCTGCCACTCCAACACTGTGGTGGGAAGCAGAGAAAGGAAGGCTAAAGAAGGATAGCAAGGGACAGGAGAGGGGACGAGGAAAGGGTGGCAAAGTACTGCCAACAGAGGGGAGCAGCAGCTAGGAAGAGTGCAAATAAACGGAAAGAGACTCGGGAACGGGACTTGGGGGGCACCTTCTCCATGACTGATGCGGTTGGGAGGCATGGGCCCCCGAACATGGATGATGCCGCAGCGATTTGGCATCTCATCTTCATTGGGGTACTCGCAGGTGTTGTAGTAATCCAGGGAATGCACAATGCGCAGGTAGAGGAGGAGCTTGTCCAAAACCTAAGGAGACAGAAGCCACTGGGTCCCCACTCTGGCACTTTGTATCTGTCCCTCCAAACCTGATGCTCATCCTCCTTTAGGGAGGCGATTAGATCATGTCCATGTGATTCTTGGGGATTAGCCCACTGCTGAGTTTATAGCTAAATGCAATTTAGGGGGTGAAGCCTGGTGGGAGGTGGGTCACTGGGAGTGAGACTGGGAAAGGTATTATCTTCTTCTCTCATTTGATCTCTCTGCCTCAGTGTGTGTCTCTCTCCTTCCTGTAACCATGCCATAAACTCACTCTTCCTCCTCTAACATGCTGCCCTGCCTTGGAGTCAGCTGACTTTGAACTGAAACCTCTACAAACTGTGAATCAAAATAAACATTTTCTCCTTACAACTGTGGGCATCAAGTATTGCCTTAGCTACAAAAAAATAACTAAGGCCAGGTATGTGGCACATGCCTGTAATCCCAGCACTCAGGAGGCTGAGACAGGAGGATCGCCTCAGGTTCAAGGCCAGCTTGGGCTACATAGTGAGTTCAAGGCCAGCCTGAACTACATGGTGAGACCCTGTCTCAAAAGAAAAAGAAAAGGTAAGACATCCTTTCACCCCCAAAGCCATGCACCCATGCCCCCTACAAAGCTACAGCTGGCACCTTGATCAGCTTCTCATCCCGCTCCACACTGATCTCCGCTGGGTTCCCTTCCTTCGGAGGCTCCTCAGGGGGAGCTCCCCCACTGCTCCCCAGCAGCTCCTCCTCTTCAGCACTCACTTCCTCAATCAGGTAGTCAGTGATGTTCTTCAGGATTGGGTTCTGCGAGGGCAGACTCTGCTGGAGGGGGGGAGGGGCAAAGAGACAAAAAAGTCCCCTGAGGACAGGGATGAACCTGTGAACCACCACACAGGAGGGCAGGGGAACAGAGTGAGGCTCACTTGATGGAACTGTCACCTCTGCTGTCACTTGTACTTGCCCCACCCAAGCCCATAGATTCTGGTGGAAGAGGGGGTAGTGTACCCAGAGAGGGACAAACAAGTGAGGGTATGAGTGGGCACAAGGGGACACTAACTGCCAAAGAGCAAGTAAGGATAGGTGTATATGGAGTAAAGGAGGTGATGTCAGCTGCTTTGGAAATGATCCCCTGGGGAGTCACTGACTGTTGGCAGAGGAGGTGTCCCCGGCTCGGAGGCCCAGAGCTGGGTCCTGTCATCTAGCGTGTGGATCAGCTTGGCCGCCAGCTTGATGTCATTGCGCACTATCTGCTTGTGCTGGGTAATGCCATTGATGTTTCGCACACGGCGGGTCAGATCTCTGTTCACACCTGGGCTCAGCTCACACTCACGGAGCTGCAAGGAAGATGAAATCAGAAAACTGACCAAGCTGGGTATACTTGCGCATGCCTGTTATTCCAGCACTCAGGAAGCTGAGGCAGGAGGATCAAAGCAAGTTTGAGACCAACCAGGGATACACAGTGAGTTCAAGGCCAGCCTGAACTACATAGTGAGACCCTGTCTCAAAAAGACCAAAGGAAAAAAAAAAAAGAAACTGGCCAACAACTGCAACCACTGCCCAGAAACAGCAGCTGACAGACTGAGAACACCAGTGACTGTCAGGACTCTGACCTCCCTGAGGACAGGGACCAAAGAAGTCCTGCCAGACAGGGCCAGGCAGTTAACATGAGCAGAGTAAATGGATAAAAATGGGCAAAACAAAGGGAGAAGGGAGTCAGAAGTCACAGGGCGGACACAAGAGAGCCATGTTTTCTCTTCTTTTAAACAATCCCACTCCTGGTACTCACTCGGATATTCTGCAGGTTCCAACAGATCTCTTTAATGTTAACACTGCGGTCAAAGGTTACCCAGCCACGACGGAAAAACCTACATGAGAAAAAATATCACTGTTTCTGGATGGAGATGGTGTGGGCCATTAACCAATTCCCCTGTACTCTGAAGTGTCCAGTTCCTTACCTCCTCTCAGGCTGTGGCTCCGACAGTGCCACACGCATAAAACCTGGGTATCTTTTACAAAGCTGCAAGAAGCAGGGAAAACAGAAACCCCACTCAGTAATTCAAGGAATCATTTCTTCCTCCAACCCACTGGGGCACCTCATTTTAACCCTTACACTTGGGCAAGGAGAAACCACCCCAGCACTTCACAGACAGGGTGCAAGCAGCCCTTGCAAGCAGAAGCCCATGGGAAGGGGGCTTCCTATCTAACATTCAGAACCAGATTGCCTTCTCTCCACCTGCTGCCTCAAAGGATCTGTGCCTGCCCAACACCAACTTCCCCACTCACAGAGATGATCTCAGCCCGGGAGATGTTGGGTGCGATGTTGCGCATGAAGAGGGAGCAAGTCTTATGCAGGGGCCGGGGCTTACATTCCAGCCCTGCAGCATCCTTAGGCTTCTCCCTTTCCTCTTCCTTGGGCTTCTCCTTTTCCTTAAGGGCTTCTTCTAGGCAAGAAGTGGTAGAAGTTGGAGAGATTTTATTATTAATTTTGGTGGAGCAGACAGAATAGCTATTACTGACCTCCAATAGGAGGTCATCTCCCCACAAACATCACCAACCTCCCCCCATCGCCCCACCCCTGAGCCGCCTACCGGTCTCTTCTTTGTCCTCCTCAGCTTGGCCACTCTCAGACTCAGACTCAGACTCAGATACACTGCCTTCGTCAAAGCTGTCATCGCCACTGTGCTTCCTGTTTCGCTTCTTGCTACTCTGTGGGAGGCACAGTGGGGAGGCTGAGTCAGGGAACCCTGGCCTCTGCCTGACTGCTGGCCCCATGTGAGCAACACCTTACCTTTTTAGCTTCCTTTTCAGAGTCTTCTTTCTTCTCTTCTTTGTCCCCATCACCCTCAGATTTCTTGGTTTTGTCATCGTTAGAGCTGTCATTTTCTGCCTACAGGTAGAGACCATCACTGGGGATGTCTAATCTCCCCCAGCTTTACCAACCAGAGCCCTGCTCCACACCTGAGCAGTTTCAGCTCCCCCAGCCCGCCTCACATGCAGCCCTCTAGCTCCAGCTCCTCTGAACCCCAGAAGTCCAACCTGCTTGCCATCTTCTTTCTTGTCATCCTTATCACCAGTCTTGCGTTCTCCGTCACCCAGGCCTGCTCCGGCCCGGCCTTCCTCTTTCTTATTGGGCTCCCCAGGCTTTCCTGCCTGTTCCTCCTCCTCCTCCTGCTCCAGGATGCGTAGATCATTTTCTGTGCCTCCTTCCATCTTAATCACAGCTACTCACAAAGACAGCAGAGGTCACCATCAAGGGCCTGGCTTCTGTCAACCCGCTTCCATTTCCCAACAAAGATCATGGTCACCTGAGCACCTCCACCTGCCCAAGTC